TTAAAGAAACAAATCTACAAAGTCATATAAAGATTTTTAAAAGTTATAAAAGACATTAATTAAAAACTAATCTAGAAAGAACTTTTTACATCATAATAAAATCAAATATAGAAAGTATTTTCTAGATCAATTCTAAAATAATCAATGTTGAATATTGTTCATATTGATATTATAAAATTTGTCACTGTCTCACGAACTACATTGATTTAAAAAAAAATGTAAATTCCCTATATTAAAAGCATTATTTTTACTAATGTGATAAATATGTGACTATGACATTTAGTCTAGTAAGATACAGATAACAATAAGATTAATTATGTAATGACCTGCCATGTTTACTATACTTAATAAAATCAACTATTAGCAGTGAAAAATAAACTACAACTACTTAGGATTAACATATAAATAATTTATAAAAAATACAATAATAATATATACATACATGCATAAGGGTTTGCATCACCAACTAAAAAAACTATACAAGTATATATGTATATATAGTAATCCAAAAGCAACTGTAATATGTAACCTTAGGTTGTCAGTTAAGCAACATTACAATAATTATATAGAAATAACTTTCTAGCTATACTTCCATCCACACGTAAGACTCCTCAAACCTAACCATGCTCTACTCTCATGTAAACATGATTATCACAGTTCAACCATTAGAAAACATGCAAAGGTAAGCTAATATATAAGAGAGTAAGACATATTACAAGTATAGAAGTAAAAACATCTATACTACCTACCCATCAAGTAAAACCATAAACCTATCACCTCATGGTTTACAACATACTAACACAACAAACATCTCAACATGACATCAAGCAACTTACAAAATGTAAACAACTCAACCACATATGACAATTCATATTTCACCACATAAATGCCATTAAACCACATGATCAACAACCATATGAACACACCAAGAATCACACATCTATGCATATACATCAACTAATGCATCTTCACGCATTCACCTATGAAAATCTCCTACACTAAGAGCAATTTAAGTGGTTTGACTTTATCGAACCAATCAATCTTTTTACACCTGCTAGATCAATAGCCAATTAGAATACCAATCCCTACAACATGATTTCTTATATATTGTCATTTAAATTAGGAAAGTCTAGTATTGTTGTCAAGTATAACATAGTTGGGTGTTGGCCTACCTCGACATTGACATGCATTAATTAAGTAACTTATGGAATTAACTTGTTAACTATCCTCGCAATACCACGCACCTCTCCATTAATTAGTTGAAGGTTTTAGACCTCAACTTCATACATTACTTCAACATTAACTAAGAATCTAGAAAAAATTCAACAAACACTCCAAGAGTTAATGCCTACTTAGGGGTATTTCAACAACTAGGTTCATAAAGCACCACACCGATATCCACACTATGGGATATCCAACTCTCGAAATCACCCTCACCTATAGTCTTAAGTCAATCAACATGCCTATAACATTCTCAACATCAACACCTCAACAAGTCACAATCATGCAACATATCATGCCTAAAGCATTCTCAGCATCACACCTCAGTAATTTAACAGTATAATCATCTATACATGTATTATTCCATATCAATATATATATATATATAGAACCAATAATCACCTATCACCATACAACATACAATAGATTCACCTAACATATTTATGTTTATGACATCATCAGTCAAACAACAAGAATTTTCAAAGTAAATCGCGCTCGACACAACACACCTCGCGCTTGGTGTCATTAAGCCAGAGAGCTCTTTGTTTCGTCCAAGTCTAGCGTCATTCAACCTGCACTAATCGTGGATAAGGTAAGGAATTCCTAGGCCCTCATGCCTGGCGTGACAAAGTTCACGCTTGACCCTAAATCAAGCAAAGAAGAGTCTTTCTCCTCACGCCTAACGTCATTCAAACCACGCCCAACGTGGTTCAACTTGAGACAATTCTCTCTCTTCACACTCGACATCCTATGTTCGACATGAGCAAGACCTAAACCCCATAATTTGAGTAACGCTTGACACCATGAAGGTGCACCTAACACGATGATGAGTTATGCACTTAGTAGACCATGAACTTGGCTCAATCTACTTGAAAACTAGGAAATTCCAAGTATGCAATACAATATATCACACATATGCATCATCAACTTTACATCGGTGTAACTTTTACTAAGTATTACACTGCTCAATAACTTTATATTAAATGTGAATTTTGTAAATCCAACTGTTAGATTGAAAGTTCATATCTCTTAGATCATATATACAAAATTTTATATTAATCCAAGATGATTTGATACTTCATTTTTATAAAACAAAATTGACGTAATATATTCATTTCAAAATACACTAAAATATGAATACTTTGATTACTTTCAAGTTGTTGTTCAATTTTAACAAAATTTGATATACACGTATAAAGTGATATGAACTTTTCAATCTAACGGTTGAATTTACAAAATTCATAATTAATATAAAGTTATTGAGCGGTGTAATACTAAGAGCATTTCCAATGCTAGGTTCTTATCCGGTTCTTAAGTTTAAGCTCCCATTGCTTATAAGAAACCTGTATTGGAGCATGCTGACATGGCATGTCAAATTGCTAAAATTTAAGCATCATTGCTGATACAAGAGACGGTTGCTTAAGAATAAAAAAATAATTTAATATTTCCTTCCTTCATTAACGCCAACAATTATAATAATTAAATTTTTTAAAATTTAATAAAAATGAAGTATGAGTGATTAAAAAAGCAAAAGTGATTATAAGCAACTTTCATTGGAGTAAAAATTATAAAAATATAATATAAGTTGCTTATGAATGACATGACAGTGTGAGATTCATTTAAAGTAGATGAGAGTTGCTTATAAACAACTCTCAATATAAATGTTCTTAGTAAAAATTACACTGGTATAATTATAACTCCTCATATATATATATATATATATATATAGAGAGCGTATCAAGTGAGAGGTTTTTATTGTGAGAAGGTGAGAAGGTGGAAATATAACCCTTAGATTAATTTTCTCTCACTTGATTAATCTAAGGGTTATATTTCCACCTTCTCACCTTCTCACAATAAAAACTTCTCACTTGATACGCTCCCTATATATATATATATATTCACTATTGAATTGTGCGAAGTGAGTATAATTTCAGCAAATAGTTTTATCATATGTAGATATTTAACTATGTATATATCTAAGTCGATTATCCATCACCTGTCTAGTTTAAGTCGGAAGAAAAGATCAGAACGAGGAAAAAAAATAAAATAAAATAAGCTTAATTTTGATTTGATTATTAGTCTTTGCTTGGGCTGAATATTATATAGTTGGTAGTTGGTCCATCACACTTGAGTCACACTAAGGATTAGAAGATAACGGGAATTATGGCACCAAACAAGGAATCTTAAAAATAAAAATAAAAAGAATTCAATTACATGAAATCTTCGACACTATATTGCTACATAATATTCAACTATCATATGAACCTTCCAATGTCTACTCGTTAGTATGTTTATTAATATGATTGGAAGTAGGAACGACGTTTACCTACCAACAAACAATAACACCGATTGAATAGAAACACACACTTTTTATTTTGCCCCCCTAATTAATATATCAAGAGTATAAATTATTTTTACAGAAATAAGATGAATTAATCCGATATCAAATTTAGTAAAATAACATATTTAATAACATTTTCATAAAAAATTCTAATGTAATCATATAATCAAATAATATTATGTTGAGAAATATATACCAAATTTAAAATAATAAAAAAAAGATCAACTTACATCGACGTATATTACTTTTTTTTTAATAGTATTACTATCATTCTTAAACCATACACTAATTTTTAATTAAACAATTTTATCTTAAAATTCATTGTTAAATTAAAATTTTATATGAACCATATTCACAAAATCTTGGATTAGTTTAAAATTATTTAAAATCTTATTCTTATATATCATAATTAACCAAATTTTTAGTTTTAAAATATATAAAATACAAATCATTTGATGATTGAACATTATTCAATGATTACAATATTTGCTAAATAGTCTAACTAATATATAATTATAGTTCAACTGAATTTATTTAAAATTAACCTTTCCTATCAAAAGTTTTTCTTATATATTTAAAGAGAACATTTTTTTTTAATTATGTCACTTATAGAACAAAGATCATTGGATTTCAATTAAAGTGCTACGTGAATAAAAGATGAGTAACTTATTTTAATGATATAGGATAAAGAGACTTAAGATTTTTTCTTTACATACAACACTATTAAATTTGATGCATATATAAATAATAAATGACCTTTCTTTTAGGAGATCTAAACAACTTTAATATCATATTAGAATGTGAGTTATTCTCTACTTATAAACCCTCTATTTGTTTCAATACTAAATAATTTGAGACTTGAATTTTTTTTAATAATTTATAATAATATCTTATAGTTCATATTTATTTTTGTTTCTCAGATAAAAACACTTTCTTTGTAGATGCATCCCACATGATATTAGCCAAATGATAACGAGATAGGATAACAATAATAAAGATTCTCTTCCATTTTGCTGGTCTTCTATTTCTTTGCCAAGCAAAAGAACTAGACAGTAACCGACCAGCATTTCAATGTTAAAACTATGTTATCAAAAAGACAAAATTATCACTTCAATGAAGCGTGTAGTTTACTCATGAATAATGAATAATCTTATTCAGAAGTCAGACATAAAGTACCTATAATTTTCATTTAGAAATTTCGCACTATGGCTTATATCCCATGGCTTATTTGATTCCCTTTAAAACCCTACACCCTAAACCTACCAACCAAAAATAAAAATAAAAATAACAGCACTAAATTTAATCAGGTTGATATTTTCATTTAATGTAAGAATTAAGTAATCAATATTCTCAATGAATATTAGGGTATGTTTGAATGGGCACCCGAGAATATTCAAACATGAATCACGTCAATTTTATAAGAATAACAGAAAATCAACTAATAGTTATTTTTGTAGATTATCGTCAAGTGGTATCACATGAGTTATCAAACACTTGCATTCTATGGTATAATCTGTTCTCATCAATGTTTACAAATAAACAATTGAACCTTGAAAGAAAATTATAACTTCAATATACAGAAAGCTTATTGCACTGAGCAAAACTATATAAATTCTAAATATTCCTACTGCTACAAAATTCTTTATGGCAGATATATCTGCTAGCGCAGAAATTTCATCCAAGATTTTTCTGTGATGAAGATTAGAAATAGTAAACTGGTGCATCATGAGTTTGATGTGCCAAAATATCAAGCCATGAAAATAATTGATATCATTACTACTAACGTTAAGGATGGATGAAAATACATCGTTGTAAAACATATAGAACCTATCAGTTATTTTGGCCCTGAAGAAATTTCTGATTTCACCCCTAACCAAACGCCAATATTCACGATTGTGTAGTGCACCACGCTTGAAATATGCTCTTACTTTCCTTTTCCACGGGAAGAAATAAAAGCAGAAAATTGCTTAGAAAGATAACTTCGTTTTGTGATACTTTATACAACTAATATGTTAGTCTGACAAACAAAAGCATGCTGCGTCTGTTTGTAACTGCTTCATTTTTGTGACAGCCAACCAAGATAACATCATCTATTTTCCATCTCTTAACCTGCGAAAGATACTTATTATAAGGAGCAACGAACCTAAACTTCAGTTCTTCTTTTTCTACTTACAAGATGATGTAGAAAATAATCATTCAGAGCATTCATGCATACAAATCATGGGGCATCCTTTACATGAAATATATCAATATAACTTATTATGCTACAATAGTCCAATAGCAATATAGCATCACTTAAAGCCATACCTATGACTTGTCTTCTCCTCCGGTTCTGTATGACATACCAGGAACGAGCTATCGCATAGCATGGCAAAAGAACACCAGCAAATTGAAGGAGTGGCATCTCAAACTGCAACCAACCATGCTAAGTTAACATTTTGTAGCCAGAAAAGCAAACACAGACGATATGAAGCTAAAAATATTCAAGTCCAAAGTTAGCACAGTAGGTTTCTAAACCTGAATTCTGATCTGTTGTGACCCAACACAACATGCTGGGGCCTAAAAATAGTAGGTGGCAATGGAAAAGCTTGAAGAGTTTTTTATTTATTTTTTTTATTTGCAATTCCCATGCTGACGCCAAACAAATTTTTACCCAATGTGCCAGCCTACCTTATTTTCATTGCCAGGTTTGTGCACAGAAACCCACCAAAAACTTCTAAATACACAACCCTTTTGGATACCAAGTGATAAGAACCAAAAGCTATTCCACCAACTTAGATAATTGATTGAAAAAGAATCCAGTTCTTCAGTTTCAGTAATAAAATGTGTTATATCATTTACAGAACTTAATAATATGATTTATGACTGAACCTGAACCAGGTGATTATGCAAAAAAAAAATAAAAAATTGCATATTCATGAACTTTCCCCTATAAGATGGCATAAAGGAATTTCAAAAAGTAGATACTTTTGGACAAATTTGTGTCATTTTATGAAAGCTTACCTAGCTTCCATATATGTATATATTGTTTTAAGAGAGTATGAGTGTGCACTCATAATTACCACCAAAGCTCAATTCATTAACATAGCACTATATCCCAAAACTAGTGCATATTAATCTCACTGATAGAACTGGATCAGAGATAGAATAACAAAAATCAATCTTTATTTCAAAAATCTATCTATGGTTTATGGTTTAGGGTTTAGGCTTCAATACTATTGCAGTATAGAATCAGATGTCAAGAATATACAGTGGAAATTCTCTCTCTTTTTGATTTCCAGGTGTTCCAGAGTCCTGGGTCAAATCCCAAAAGTGACATACACTTTTCTCCTAATTGCCTTATAAGTAATAACTACCATAACCCATTACAGTCATTCAGTTACATTTTACTATTAATGGTGGCTTCTAATACTATTAATAGCCCCAAGATTCCAGTCCTATTCTTCCTAACATAGACCCTCTTAATGAGAGGCATCAAACACACATGTGAATGTGTCAAGAAATGAAGTTGTCAGAACATGCTACTTACGTTAAAGATAATTGATGCTTCTAGCCCAGTTGCAGAGTTCTTTGCGACCATCAAAGCTTGGTGTACAAGTAAAACTATCAGCAACTGTATAATATATTATCATCAGCCACATTAGCTCTCAGAAAGGATAAAAAACAACACATGCTTTAACATTACATCTGTTTCCTTACAATAAATGTGACAAAGCGAATGCAAACAATGCTACTGGTTTCTGACATGGCATAATCTTCATATTCAGTTTGCAGCAACTGGTCCTCTGCTGAAGTTAGAGCCACATGGAGACCAGCATTATGCCCCCATTCTTGCCTGTATATGGGAACGATATATATTTTACTTGACAAAAACTTGATCAAGGATATGAAAAGAGGCATAGAAAAAAGGTGAGGGTTAGAGGGATATAAATAAATCAACAAAAACATTACACATCTTGAGGTGGGGGTATCTTCAGCAATTTGGGGAGGAAAGTTCTTAAGAAAGTAGGTTAGAAATCTAACTCAATCCTATAAAATTTACTTGTATGGTGAGGATTGATCTCCACTTTTATACATACTATTATTGCCTTATCTTTAGTCAGTGGGGGATATCCAACACGCCCTCCTCACGCCAAGGACTAAACATCTTGAGTGTGAAATTTGTTGAATTGGACATCTACAGATGATCCCGTAACGGTCCGATAATAGGTGGCCTAATAAGCCTAACAACAGGAATGACTAGGATAGACTCTGATACCATCTTAAAAAAGTGAATTAGAAACCTAACTCAATCCTATAAAACTGACTTGTAAGGTGAAGACAACTCTCCACTTATATATACTATTATGACCTTATCTCTAATCAATGTGTAATTTCCAACAAAAATGTCAGACCCTGCAGCAATTAATTCCTTTCTTTTTTAAAAAAACAAAAGGGAGAAGCATTAGAGGGTAGACAATTGGGGAGGGCCAACAGTTGCTGCTAATGCCAGGACAAGGATAAAACCTTGAAAAATAGCTTCAAGGAATGACCTTCAGATTTGTGATGTGTTTAACAACATTCCTAGGGGTGTAAGCGGGTTGGGTTGGACTGGGTTTGTTTAGATGAACCCATTACCTGACCCAATCAAAATTTAACGGGTTGGGCTGGGTCGAATTTGGACAATTTTTTTTTAAAACTCAAACCAACCCAACCTAATCACGAATGGATTGGATTGAGTTGAGTTTATCGGGTCAACATAATTAAATTTATTTATTTTCTTATAAAAATGTAAATATTTCAAAATAAATGTAAATCAATTGATATATTGTTGCAAATACAATGTTATCAACCTATAAAGCAAATAGTGATACAAATTTAATTCTAAAATAAATTTATTAATTTGTACATTATTATCAACTAAAAAAACCAACATTAATTAAGACAAAATAAAATATAAAATAAATATATTTTTATATTGTTACAATTCTACCAACTTAAAACATAAAACTCGTTACTAAGTTATAATGATAGTAAGTATTGTCTTAAACAAATGATCATTCAAACACTATTATTATTATTATTATTATTATTATTATTTTTATTATATATTATTACCTGACCCATACAGTGTAGGGTTTTGGTTGGATTGGGTTGGGTCTAACCCGAATATTAAAAAAAATCCGATTCAAACTCATTGGATTGGTTTAAGTCAGTACGGGTTTGTAGGTTACCCATACCCGCTTACACTCCTAAACATTCCTCATCAACTTAGTACCTATTGATTGAGATTGAGTTATATCATATCACAATTCTGAGACTTCCTAACAACATAGAGTGAGACAAAGCAAAGATCTCAATGACATGGATGACTGCTTGCTAAAACATCTTAGTGAATTGTTAAAACATCTCAGTGAGACACAGCAAACAGATAATTGTTAAAACATCTAAAATGGAAAGCCTAAGACCAGTTGCTATGATGTATAACTTAGTTAAATTAAATACACAATTGAATTGAATTGACATTCCAACCATAATGAGGTAATCTTGTAGCCTTGCAATGGACAATGTCTAATGTGAAAACCAACTTATTAACTAATCACCTCTTCATAATTCAAAGTTTCAAATTGTGGCTTCATAGTTTTGGAGCGGGCAAGATATGTAAATATTTCAAATGTAGGGATATGGTTCTATATACTGATGCTTGGGGAAGGTGCAGAAATTGATGAGACTTTGAATGTTTATATCTAAAGATATGATGAACCATAGAAAAGAAACAGAATTATGAATGAACACAAAGGTATCACAGGAGATATATACATGCAACCAACATTAAGCTAGTCTCAAATATCCAAAGTGGAGGCTAGCCAAATTTCTAGATACTTTAACCACTTAAAATTAAGAAATGAGGTGCCACCATCTGGTATATAGCCTAGAAACTGCACAAGATGAAACAAACAAATACAATTGCTGTCAACATAAAGATTAGGACAATCACCATTTACTAATAATGTTAGGATTAGGAATCAACTATCCCAAAAGTTGAAGCTATTAGGTGAAGATAAATGAATGTGATTTTATTTTTAACACTCCCACTCATACAAAAATCCTTTGGGCTTGAAGCATGGACAAAGCACAAGTCCCCCTATCCTGCACTAAAATTCAACTTTTAGATAGCAATGATTGAACTCTAGACCATTTGGTCAAAAAGGTTTTAATACCATGTCAAGAACAAACTAAAAGTTTCAAGTTATTAGGTGAGAACACGTGAATGGCTTTATCTTTAACAAATAAGAATCTAAAAAACGTGACTATAGCAAAATTTTATTTTTCTAGACCTAATTCAATTTTTTGGTAACCATGTTATTGATAAGAAGTATTTACCAGCTTCGCTAATGATTAATCTCTATAGGACGACCTAGCTAACCCACCTTTAGTGAGATCTCTCTTCCCAATTACATTTTTTTCATATACCAGAGTAACCAGACTCAAACTCGAGACCTTGCTTAAGGAGATCGAGTCCAGTACTACTCGAACCAACGACTTGTTGATAGACATAATCTAATTTGAATTAGCTTCTAGTTTATGAGAGTTTTTTAATTATGAAATCCCATTGTCAAGACTTCTCCAAGTCAGAAGATGACAAGTTTATTTATTCAGTTTATAAATGCTTATGGAGAAGTTAGAAGAAGGAGCTTCTAAACAAATTGAAGTACATGAGTTGATTTTAACTTGTACAATAAGTTTATCCAAATGGACTCCTAATATGTTGTTGATATGCAATTTGTGGCACCAACATTTAAAAAGTAATTTGAAGGGAAGTAATTCTATACGGTATTAAAATGCATTTAAATTCATTCATGCACCTTCTTTTCAATTCATCATCAACAACAATAGCCTTATCCTGGTAGGTGAGATGAGATCAACTACATGGATCATACAACGTCATTGGATTTGGTTATAGGGATATTATTTACCATGAGATCCCTTTTCATAATTCTCTCCAATGTTCTTCTTGGTCCAACCAGTAAGGTCATTTTATTCCAGAATCAAATCATCTATCGGAAAGTCTTTCTTTACCATAGTCAATCAATTTTCTACACTTCATACATTATCATTTCCCTAGGAATATCGTAGATACAAGAATGAAGAAGTAGCCATGGTGCATTATAGAGACAACTACCTGGCTTACATAGAAAATTTTAGCACACACAACTTACAGTCATTAAGCAAAACCTTTCAGAAGATGGAAATAAGAAGTCATTATAAATCAGTTACTTCAATACATGTTCAAAATTACCTTATATCAATTGCCATAATTGCATTGTTTCTGACTGGTGGAAGAGAATAATTTGGTGAAAATGCCTAAAAAGAGTGAAATCTCATAATTTCTAATTTTAAATCTTGGCAACTCATGAAGAAAAAATACCATGAATGAGTTGAAAAAACCCCAACCTGATTACAGATTTCACATATCGTATTTCCTTTCTTATTGCACCATCTCTGGATACACTTCTTATGAGCAAACTGCATGCCAAGAAATTGTCAGCTAACATGTTCATAATCCAACTTAAAGTCAAAACCACTACACCAGTTTCCACAAAGATTCACTGAAACTTCACTGAACTCCCTATCTAGTAGAAACCAACCCTCTTCCCCTTCATCTTTAGATGCAATACAAGTCAACCACAAAAGTTTCATGAGATGAAGCAACATACCATGAACTTGAACAATTGAAATGCTTCCAATAACAACAACAACAACAACAACAAAACCTTATCCCATTAGCTGAGGTTGGCTACACGAATCACATGATTTCATTCGGCTTAGTTAAAAACCAAAGTTTCATATAAAGGAAAGAAGAAGGGTTGTATTAGGCCTCCAACAGTCTACGTAAAACTCACCAATATATCAGACATGGATCACTCAGACATAAATGCTTTCAGTAACAACAATTGAACTAACTCAAGAAGCCATTGCATCGATACAGGTAAATACACTGCATGCCTGCAGAGTGCAGACTCGTGCTACTTGAAAGAAGGAGCATGACAAGTAAGAACATAATACCAATACAGAGACGGGTACCAACTACCAACTCATACCCAACAGCGTTTTTCCACATGACTCAATAAGTTGCTCACTAAAATTAAAACTTTCTCACTTTTAAAAAACACAACAACCACTTGGTGTTCTTATTCATCAAGTAACATGTTTTCCAACAAGTTAAGGTGGTTAGCTATTTTGGGTATTGGGTTTGACACTTTTGAGAGGAAAAAAGATAGATGAAGTTTATGAAGAAAAAGAAAAAAACCACCTTGAGAGTGCCATTACAAGAACAAGGGGCCTCCATGGCTTGGGCTTGATCTTCTTCAAGGCATATTCTGCACTCAACAACAACATCACCATTGTTTGAAGAAGAGGAACACCCTTCTCCACCATTACCAGAAACGGGGATTAATGGGTCAACACCATCACACTGTTTCCCATTCACTGATCCAAAACAGGCCGAGGAAGCTATAATCTGATCAATGCAAACAATGAAGTGGTCCACCATTTTTGAGAGAGAGAGACTGTAGGGGGTGTAGTTTGTAGTGTGTTGGGAGAGAGAGAGAGAGAGGAGAGAGAGAAGAGAAAAGGACAAGGTAAAGAGAAGAGTGGTGCAAGCGTGGGTTCAAAAAGGTACCACCACTCACCACACTACTCTTAATGGTACGTTGACGGAATTTACGAAACAAACCGCTACTCTTGCTAACAGGTGTACGCGGATATTGACGTTGAGGGAAAACATTAATATGAATATTAAAATAAGTTTCAGTTTAATTTTATTTTTATAAAATATAATTATGTAATTTGAATTGGATTCAATGATTCGAATTTTATCAATAAATCCCTTGAATTATTATCCTACATTGTGATTTTCTAAGAAAATAACAACGTATTCAAAATAAAAAGACAAGAAAAACTATTAAGGTGAGCCATGTGGATGGGGTTCAGATAGATGGGCCGTTCTGGTTATATTTTCAGTGTGTTAATTTTGCACCCGGAACGGGCTGTTCCGGATGCAAAATTAATACACCAAAAGTGCACCCAGAACGGCCCGTTCCGGTTTCAGAACGGGCCGTTCTGGGTCCAGGCATGTTTAAAAAAATTCTCATCCACGTGGCATCCACGTATGCATCTACATAGCGTCCACGTGCAATTTGGACGGAAAGTCTCACATTAAAACTAATTAATTAATTTGGGACTAAATTGAAACCAATTAATTAGTTTGAGACCAAATTGAGACCAAAAATTAATGAGGGACTAAATTGAAACAAAAAAAGATTATAATACACCAAAATAGGTTTTTAGCCCGAAGAGATTAGTCAAACAAAAAAAGGAAAAATTTAAGTCTGTTATAAAAGGAAGAAAAAGTATAGAGAATAAATGAGACAATATGAGATAGAGAAAAGAATCTGACTGGTGTAATCATGCGTGTAAGACGATTAATAGCGTATTACCTAATTCGGTAAACCTAGCACATGGCCCATTAATGTCACTATAAATAGTTCACATCTCGAGGTAACGTCACTATTCATTAATTACTATTGATATTTGTGCTTGCCCTGACTTGAGTGTCGGAGTGCCTTTTGCAGATACCCTCCCTCTCACCGGAATATTAGCTTAGAGCTCTCGTTCGACCTTCAAACTACCAAAAAATTACTAGTGTGCCCTTCATACAGGTATAGGTTCAATCCAATTCAATAATATAACAATGTAATGATACAACAGTAAAGGTAAAGAAAAATAAGATCAACATGTAAAAGATTGAACTACTCTCACAAAAAAAAAAGTTAAAATATAAAAGGCTAACAAATCTATTATCTAGTATCTCTTCTCAAACTCAAGATGCATTAGTAGAAAGCATCAAAAGTTTAATAATTAAGAAATGAAATTGCTTAGTAGAATGTGACTTTGTAAACAAATTAGCAATCTGCATTGAGGATAAGACAAATGGTAAAGTAACTGTTCCCTAGAGATAGTGATGCTTAGTGAAATTAAAACCAATATCAATATGTTTGGTGTACTCATGGAAGATTAAATTACTAATGATTTTGATAACACTTTTTAAAGTTAGCAGAAAAACATACAAAAAGGGGGGTTGAATGTGTGTATGAACGAAGGAGTTTTAAAAAACGTTTTCGCAAATAGACGTTTTTTTGTTTGATAAAAATATTATATTGAACACTTAAAAACTGTGCAAGGTTGGCTCAACAAAAGATTTTGCGTTTGAGAACTTATCGTCTGCACAAGGAAAATGTTTCGTAAAATAATAAGTTAAGCAAATGTATTTTTCGTTTGAATATAGTTGTAGTGAAAATAAGTAGTGGACGAAATTTTCAGTATGATATAAAAGCTAAACAAAAAATTGCGTATGAGAATTAGATAAAGAGTGCAAAGAGTTTTATACTGGTTCTCTCGACCCGAGCTACGTTCAGTCTCCTTCAACCAAAGGGTTCCATTAATCACAACGGATTACAAGTATTATCAATCACTTCTGGTTCGCCAACTTCACTCGTCAGCGCTAGTATTCTTAAACCACTTCTGGTTCCCCGAGTATTATCAACCACTCCTGGTTCGCCAACTTCACTCGTCAGCGCTAGTATTCTTAAACCACTTCTGGTTCCCCGAGTATTATCAACCACTCCTGGTTCGCCAACTTCACTCGTCAGCGCTAGTATTCTTAAACCACTTCTGGTTCCCCAAGTATTATCAACCACTCCTGGTTCGCCAACTTCACTCGTCAGCGCTAGTATTCTTAAACCACTTCTGGTTCCCCAAGTAT